TGCCCTCAGCTTAGAGTTTGGAGGAGGAAAAAGTAAGCAGGTGGCTGGTGAGAAGTGAAACTTTATCTTACTGTGGAGATGTGTGTATAGGTGAGATGGCAGCTGTGGGACCAGGCTGTGAGGGCCATTCCAGTTCTCTCCACACTGGTGTGTCCAGGTATCTCCAGCACCTGCACCAGCACATGCTCTTGGACTGACTGGATTTTAGAGCTTATACCAGGAAGGTTTAGAGATGGAAGAAGAAATGGGAAAGGGAGAGAGAGTTATGCCAGCAATACATAATTTCTCTTTGGCCCTCCCTATCTTACATCACACAGGATCCTGAAAATGCTGGGGTCAGACCTGGGAAATGTGCTGCAAGACAAACACTTCCAGCTGTTCCTCTGAAAGCAAGTCTCAGCAAGTACCTTCTAGGCAGGAACGTGTGGGCTTACTTTTTTAGGAAAAGGAAAAAATCTCACCGTTTTAAGCCTTCAGCATTCACCTTCGTAATTAAAATCTCTAATAACAAGCAGAGTGCAATACGTGACCGTCTTCAGGGAGCTGTTTCTTAAGGTGGTTTTCCATTTTTGCATCATTTAGCCCCTGCCTCGGTGCCAGGGTTTACTTAACCTTAAGATTGTGAACAGGCTTATTGAATTTGGCCAAGGCTTGACTAATCTGTAATGAGCTCCAGGTTGCCTGGAACTTGGCAACACCGTCGTCCTCTGTGCCGTTGCATAATGGCCTGACCCCGTATAACCACGGCTTTGCCTCATGCCCCTTCTTCAACCTCCTTGAGCCTGCTCCAAAACCCTGGGCTTCATGGAGGAGCCACCCTGCTAAGGGGTGTCCTGAGTGCTGAAAACCACCTCAGCTGCTTTCATCGTCTTCCATGGGGTGAGAGATGGCAGAAAGTGCAAGAAAAACTCAAATATGGAAACCAGCTGGGGCAAACAGGGGATGCAGTGGTGGCAACCAGGTGAAGGCCAGTACCTCCTCCCAAGCACCTGTGGTGGCTGGGGAATGTGTGAATCCTGGCCATCCTCCTTCTTCTCCTCCTCTGCCTGCATCAGGCTGACTTGCAGCCCACTGGGGTCCCCCTGTGCTTGTGAACGGAGGATCTTCATCCTGGAAGCTCTTCCATTTGAAACTCGCTAGGTGTTTTTTATTGTTAATTTCATAATTTTAATAAGGTCACCTGGAAAGACTTGTCAGAAATCACAGGAATAATTCAGATGTTGCTCTAAGTAATTTTTCCCCCTGTTGTTTATTTACTTCAGCTCCACCACTTGAGAAACCCATTATTTGCCTGCTCTTTATTGAGCATCTAATGATGACAATAAATTGATACCATCTTTATTGTGCATTTCCCATAAGGTTGATAGGGCACAGAGAAGGAACGAGATTATTTTCCTTCTAGCATGACTCTGGGAAGACTGTTTATAGCCCTTCAGCTCTAGCCCACTGCAAGCCAGCCGAGAGCAGGATCATTAAAAGCAGGATTTAGAGGCTGTGGGCTTGCATATATTAATTGAGAGCAAAACTTGTCAGACGAACACTTTGTAATGAGTGAGGAGGAAGGAATCTGGCTTGGATCTCCTCAGGTACCCAGCAGTAAGCTGGAGGAAAAGATCCTCTTACAAAAAATAAGAAGAATTAAAAAAATTAATAAAGCAATCTTGCTTTGTTTGGAGATCAGGGTGCCAAATATAGACCCTATCACATTTCCTTCCCTCCTCCTTCCGAAGCTCGTCCTTTTGAAGTGCACTTTCAATAGGATGTGGATAATTGACTCTGTGAACAACCAGCCGAGTGCTCTGTTGGTTTAACCGATTGGTCTCAGTTGCTGATTCCTGTTTTGTTTTCAGCCCAATTGCCCTGTCAGCTACAATTAGTCCTGCTAATATGACAGCTGTAAGGTCACAAATGAGTCGCTCTGGTCAGAGGCATGGGGGCAGCCAGGAGATACGCACAGTGTGATGTTCTCAGCTCCACGGCTGCGTGCTGATAGCTTGCTTAAACCAATGGCAATTGCAAATCCTGGTGTAGAACAGATCAAAAGGGACGTGAGATTTCCTTCAAAGGTAGGGTGACTGACTGAGGAATAAGGTTTCAGTAACAAGTAACTTCTGGATGAATTTTTCTTTAATGAGACAAGAAAGCTCCTGGTTCTGTATAAAGGGAAATGTGGAGTGGCTGGGCTTCCTCTTGCCCGCCAGAGCAGTGAGGAAAGGAAGCAGAAGTGGGATAGAGTTGTAAGTACATCCTGTGGCTCTTTCAACAAATCCACACTGTTGTTTTCTTGGTTCCCGTGACATCTGCCATAGTTTTGGGCTTTATTTCTTCCACCCAAAAATTACATTTGGGGGACTAAAGTGGGAAAGGCAACAGCAGACAAATGGATAGAGGACAAGGGATCGTTTGACTTCTTAAGATTAATAGGGGTTAGACGCACAGAGATGCAGGTTGGATGTTGGACTCTTGGGTCTCACGGTCTCTCTTTGGTCATGGTATGGCCAAAATGGTGTCACAGAAAATGTAGTCTGGTTGTATACTTGGCCTTTTGTATAAGGAAGTAGACATGAGGCACCCAAAGTGCCTGGGTCAGCCCATTGTTGAATAATATAGCCCCAAAGCCCAGCTGGAGGACCAGGGCTGGCGATGGTTCACTCGTGAAGCAGGACACTGTGCCTGATGAGGTTCTGCAAGGGTCTGGTTATGGTTTGGTGTTATTTGGTACTTTCTTTAACTGCTTGGGCGATGGAAAAGAGAACATGAAGACTCAATTTGCTGGTGACCTCCAGCCGGGAAGGGCTTGCAGCAGCCTCACTGAGAGGGTCAGGCTTCCAGGTGACCTCACACAAGCTGGGAAAGTGGTGTGAAAAGGGCGATCTGTGGTTTGATGAAGACAAAGTCCTACAGGCTGGCAGAAACCATCAACTCTGCCAGTGCAGGATGGGGACTGTTTCCAGGAGGTGAAAGGATGCTGTTAAAAAGTGCAAATAGCTTATGCATCAGGCATAAGATGAGTATTTTGCCTATTCCCTTTGTTTCATTAATGAAACACTAACGTTTCTGTGAGGAGCACATACTTCCTGAAAAACTCTTGGCCAGGGATCAAATTTTTCCTCAAGCAGTTTGGCAGGAGCTTTGCAGCGAGCCCATGTGCCATGCACATTGTGTGCATGAATTCCACTTGAAGGAGCTCAGGTCTGGTCTAGCGGGAACATACAGCCTACACGAATCCCCCCTTTATTTCTCCAGAAGCTGCACTTTCTGTGGACATCTGTGAGGTCCAGAGATCAGTGTGTTGTGCTGAGCTTATTCCCTTTAAATCTTGTGTGGGGTTTGTTCCTGGTGAAGATGGCTGGTGCTTTTAAAAAGCCTAGCAGCAAGAGACCTCTTCTGTCAGTGTGTTTCCATCCATGTTTGGGCAACACAATGAGTGCAGATGTAGTAGGAAACTTTTGATTATCTATAGGGTTTTTTTCTGTGGCAACTTCAAAGCTTTGTGGTTAGTTATATTCTGAGACTTTAAATGGATATGTCTTGCGCTCAGAGCTCTGATTTAGTTTTCCGTTTTAATCTATTGTCCAAACATCATTAATGTTGTCTTTGAGGCATGGGATAGCTTTGATGGAGTCTTTTTTTAATTTCTGGCCATCACCCTGTGCAGCCATAAACAACCTCCTGCCTGCTAATGAGAAAATTCAAGTTACTGCAGTCACGTGTCTTGTGGAAATAGACTGGAGTGGCAGGAGAAAAAAATGAACCGGCTTCGCTCACCTTCCACCCCCAGCTGGCATGAGCATTTGGACTACTGACAGGCAGGAGATGTTTCCACAGGTTGAGATATGCCATTAAAAAGCACTGTCATCTGTTGAAAATGAAATTATTAATTTCATAAACGTATGATGAATTCCTTAATTCCTGCTTTCATGAGTTACCTTTTCTGCCTATAAGCATCTAAACCCATTTCTAATTAATGCCCAGTCAGCATGTCAGGCGTTGGGCTCAACTATTCCTAACAAATCCAGGTTTGTGGATGAATTTGACTTTTCTTTCTAACGTGAAGTGAGGGAGCAGGATCCTCCATTACATACCCAGTAAACCAGTTTCATGATGTTGATAGTCTACCCATTGCTTTCCTACCTTTCCCATCTTCTGTAAAACTTTTTGTTTGGAAACTATCCTGTTTGTGTATATGACCTTGGAAACACCTGGCAGAAGTTGGTCCAAGGTCTTGGCATTTGTTCCTTGTTGCGCCATGACAAACATCTGCCGAAGATTTGGGAAGGGGGAAGCTGGTCATGGTGAACATTCCCGTGTTTAGTCCTGGTTTGGGGATGATAACGCAGCAACAGGAGAGCACCTTATTCCTTCTCCACTGGGAAACCCATCTTGTAGGGAAGAGCCCATCCTACAACAAACTGGCTTTATTGGCTCTGGCCTCACTGACAACCGGTGTATAAACCGGGTGTGTTGGTAGCAGCTTCACAGCATGGGCCCATCTCAGGTCTTGTCTGTACAGGAGCTTGACTGCCAGAAACACAAGACTGGGATACAGTGTGAGGGCTTGCCCAGGGATGCAGTTGTCTTATGTCTGCATAATTTTGCTCTATTTGGAAAGAGGATTAAAGTGGCATGGATAAATGAGTATAAATACTAGCTGATCACTGCAGTGGACAGGTTTTACAGGAAGTGTCCTGCTTGCTTGCAGCCAGGACTTGGTATGATCCATGTTCCAGCTTGGTGAGAGCTGCCCAGCCTGTGGGTGCCTCTCGATGTGCTGGCCTGCACTGCTGCACCTTTCCCTGGCATTTGTGCCCTTGTAACCACACTGACCTCTTCTCTGCCTTCTCGCTCCACCGAATAAGTTGACATTCATCCTTTTAAAATATCCCAGGAAACAGCCACTGGTGTTGCACATGTTTAGAGGGTGGGTGGTTGCTGAGAGCAGGCTGGAGGATCTCCTGCACTCCCTGTGGTTTCTCTTCTCACCCTGTGTGTCTTTGCAGAACACGGTTTCGTCGGCTACTCTGAAGAGCTTATGTTCAACAACACGCTGCCAGACTACAGCCAGGGGGAGTCCTTCTTCACTGTGTTTGGAGTGTTTTTCCCAGCTGCCACAGGTACAGTTAAGTTTTATTCTTCCCCTCTTTCTCTCCACAGTCACATCTTGGAGATAAGCAGAAGCAAAGGCAAGGTGAGTGGGACTGTACTCGGCCGTAGCAGACTCATGTGGTCGATTAAAAATGCTCAGGCTTTCTTCCAGCACCTCTAATTTTGCAGAGTCTTGTTTTGTTCACTTGGATGTCCTCTTCTGTCTCTCTGTGGTCAGAAACTGCTGGACAACTCTATGGGTTGATGGGGTGATATAAATCCTTCCCTGACAAGGAAAAGGCTCAAGCACTCATCTGAGCCAATGCTATCAGGCCACAAGGTATGAAGCTTTTGGAAAAAGGCGGATCTATCTAGTTAGATAAGCTGTAGGACTTGATTGCACTGGGAGGATGGGAAGACCACAGGAGTGCTTTCCTTACGTCAGGCAGATGGCCAAGCAGGGCTGATGCCATTGCTCATGGTACTGACCCACCACTCTGCACAGTGTCAGAGATGCATCTCTGCATGGTAGCAGAGCTCACATTTATCATCTTAATTGGATGCTTTCATATTATTCATTCCCTTAAATTACCAGGAAGATCCATGTCCACTTTCCAAAGCTGGTACTCTCCAGTGGGAATAAAATAACTATTAACTGGAGTTACAATACCTTTTGTTGGTGCTGGATTTTTTAAGCTATAAAAGGTACCGATTATAAGCAGTTTCCATAGCAATGAATCCTTGGATTACAGAATGAATTTTCGGAGGATTAGCTCTAAGCAACTCACTGGAAGTTGTTCGTGGAATTGCTGTGGTACAGAGAGACAAAATAAAGGATTTTGTGAACCATGGGACTGGAGGAATGGTCTGGTGGCAGAAGTTGTCACTTGTCAGGTTCATCTAGTGCAGGACTTCAAATTTTCCTTTGAAATCCTCTCTCCCAGCTTATGAGGCTGGCTATTGCCTCGCTCTAGACGTCCTCCTGGAAAACTCACCTGCCTGAACTCATGGCACCACGGAGAAGTTGTTTTGTCCTTCCTACCTGGCCCAAGCGAGTCCCTCAGCCAAAGAAAGAGACCTGTCTCATGAGCCCTGCCTCTGATGCCCGAAAGCAGTTTTTTCCAGCTCCCTGGTAATAGAAGAGGAATAGTTATGACAAAGCCGTGCAGAAAATTGCAATGATTAGCCATGTTAAATGGTTCTTCATCACTGCTAATGCTTGGCTGCTAGGAAGAATGCCAAAGCTAATAGATATAATTTGTTTAAAGCCCTAGCAGCCTGTTGCTTTGTTAGTTAGCAGTAGTAATACCAGTAGTAATGTTAAACATTCTCTGAAAACACAGTTTGGGATGATGTATAATTACTTTGGTTGCTGCACAGCTTTTTCATGTGTTCTAATTGCTTGGTTATTTATGGTATTTGAGTTATTCCTTTGGATTAGCAGTACCAGTGGTACCATACAACATTGCTATTGCTCTTGCTATTGCTGTTTGTAGCACTGTGGAGTTCAGGAGCCTTATAAAACATAGGGTTGTGTTCAGTGCTTTATATGGAAGAACTTGTCATGTGCTTAAGAATTATTTATGGTGGGCATCAAGACTTCTCTACTGCAGAACAACTGGGGAGCACAGTGCAACTTCAGAAGGTCTGGGAATAAAGCTCACATCTCCCAGAGCTGGGGCAATGGGCAAGGGCTGGTTCTCCCATGTCCCACCTGACCCATGCTGGCTTAGCTTGCTGCCTTCTCCACTCTGGGGGTGTGATGCTAGGGCTGCAGAGAGGACCCTGGGTTTCTCAAGGTCCCCAATGCTGGAGCAGAGCTGCTTTCCGCCGCATTGCAGGTGTTGCCTGGATGCAGCCTGAGCCTGCAGGACAGGCAGTCCACGAGTTTGAAGATGACGCTTCAGGGATGGGTTTGGCAGCGGAATTAATAGCAGGCTGGAGAGACACGATAGGATTGCCAGTGCCTCTGATGCAGGGCGGGTAGTGTGATGCAGATCGTGAGCGAGCGGCTATGTCAGACCCCAGCCACTCCACATGAAAGAGAGTGTCAGGGACACGTGAACATCACTCCCAGGTTATCACCTCCAGCCTGTGCTCCTGCGCTTGCCCAGCACCATCCCCAAGTGGTACCCGTTTCTGCTGGAACCCCTGCAGTGGCCCAGCTGGAGCACTGGAAGCAAAATCCTTTGTGTTAACAGAAATCTGGGGAGAGTTTCAGCGAAACAATATGTTGTTTAGTTTTGAGGGGTTACTTTGAGCCAGTTTGAAACATTTCTTTGACCCCAAAAAAGTTCTGTTTATCTTTAATAAATAAATGTTCTGTTTACTCTTTTTAATTTTTAGCATATGCGAGTTTACAATCTAAGATGCTGTTTTGATAACAAAAGTTTTTTAAAAAAATGGTTAGGAAATTGTGAAACAAGATGTTTGGGCCTTTCTTGTATGAAATGTTCCTCTTTGACGTGAAACTGGTTTGATCTCTTTGGGATAAGCTTTTTCCTCTCCTTCTGAATTGCTTATTTGAATTCAACTGATTTAAGTTTGGTCTCTGAGATGTACTGAAAAATGGGTTTAAGTTGCCCTTTTCCACCAGAAATAGCAGTGAAATGGAAACTTCAGAAATACTGGCTGGGGGAAAGAGGGCCAGCCACTTCAGGAAAGGGGAGCAAGACCTGTGGGGGGACCCTTGAAGGACTGAATGGGCAGGAGGAGAAGCTGGGTGTGTGCTTCAGCTGCAGGGGATGGGGTGGTCATGCCAGCCTTTTGAAGACCAGTAGCGACATGCTGTCTCCTATGAGTATCCTCTTTGGATTGTTTTGCTCCAGGTTGGTTTGTTTTCCCTGTTTCTCTGTATTTTATTGGTACAACTCCAGCAACACAAGTGAAGTTATCCCAGTTTTATGGTTGAGCAGTAGTAAGCAGAAGCTGGTCTGTTTGCTTCCTGGGTAGTAGCTGTTTAAGCCATTTTAGCTGGGTGTGCAGTGCAGCTGGCTTTATTCCCCCAAGTTTGTCATTTAATAATCGAGAAGTAGCTGAGTGTTCCAAAACACACCTCTAGAGCTGGCTTGAATGGGAGAGAATGGGCACGGAAGACTTGTATTTGCTGTCTTCAATCAAAAAGACTAACATACTTGCTACTCAGGATGTGAACATAACCCATATAGAGATTCTGTGCATTAACCAGATGTTTTCCTGTGTGTTTGTAACCACCTTCTTGATGCACATGCTTTGCTGCTGCACTGTGATATTCAAACACTCAGCTGCCCACCTAACCAGGGCTTTGCATGGGGAGGGAGTCTTGGGAGCTGCCTGCCCATGTTCAGCTCCTAGCAGCAGCCATGCAACTGTCAATGCACTTTAAAAATGAAGTTACAGGTTGTTTCTGTTGTGCAGAGAATGTTTTTCTACTAAATCCCTGAGGTTTCCTGTCTAATGAAAGAAGTGTGTTGTCATGTGATACGAGAAAGTAAGATGATGTTTGAAGTGGTGTTAGTGGAAAATATCATTGTACTGAAACCAGTTCTGAAATAAACCATATTTGGCACTTTCAAAATGACAGCAAATGGATTTAGAAGTTTTGGGCTAAGTTATCAGATGATGTAAACTGGCACAACTCCATTGAAGTCAATGGAGAGCTGCCAGCTTACATCAGTGGAGAATTTGGCCCTTTAAAAAAATTAGCTACAATTCTTATCTAAGATTTTCCATTCTTCATGTTTTGGGTGAATTAGAAAAAAACAAACAAAACTAAAACTTTACATTCTGTGGTAAATTCACTGGAAAATGCACTGGGTGTTTGCAGGTAGTCATATCTACAGTTATAAACCATGGCTGATGGAGTTAGAAGCCAGAGCTGGTGGTGATGGTTGTGCCTAATGTACAATGTAGGTGGTCCCCTTGTGCACGTATCCGGCCCTTGGATGATGCCCAGGACTGGATTATGCTGGGAATAGCAGCAATGTACAGACTGTCTCAACTATAATTTCCTGGCTGAGTTGACTGTTTTTTTCATGCTTCCTTGTCCAGAAGCTTTGTCATTATCTGCTGCTCTCCGAGATAATAGACAGTGTGGAAAATCCAGTCTGCTATCTCGTTGAAACAGAGAGGTGGATAATTTTCTCCGTGGACAATCTGCAGATATGATTGCTTGAGTTCAGAATAGATTGGCCATTTCCCTAGGGGCAGGTCTGTGTCTGGAGGAAGGAATGTCCCAGCTTCTCTTTATTGTTGCATTTTATAAGCAAGTGTAGGGTTTTATTTCTGTTGCGTAGCTAGAGTCCCTGGAAAGGCTTTTTGTGGCTACCCACAAGTCAGACCAGTTCTTCGGCAGCAGGTGACAGAGGCTACGGGTGATGAAGATTGTTTAGGTTTTTTTGATAACTAACCAGGTTGTTCTTTCATTGAAAAGTGGGGTGGTCAGTCTGCTGCTCACAAAAGACGTTCTCAGTACTGCTCTTTGGCAGCTCTCAGCCTGTCTGGAGAATTACTTTTTGGGTGGTGGTGGACAGGTGGCTTTGGCATTGTCCATACATCTGTACTATGAGATTGTCCATACTTTTGTACTGGTCAGGTCAGAGATGAACTTGCAACACAGAGAAGATGGCTTTGGCCTGAGTGGCAGAGAATATCTCTGTTGATTCCCTCTATGGTGGCCTTGGCCTTTGGCAGTGAAGCCATGAGGCTCTGGTGAGCTCCTGGAGATCCTGACAGAAGCTAATGGTGTGCACTGGCCTGGGTCTGACCCCTAGCTGCTGCCAGGCAGGAGGTCAGGCAACAGTGTCAAGATCCTGTTTATGTGGGCTCTGGCAGGTCATCTCCTGGCTGCTTGTGAATATGTGTAGGTCTGTGGAGGGAGGCAGTGGGGCGGCCTGGGCTGTGCAGTCATCGCTGTGCTGATGACTCACATGTCTTCAGCTTTGTTCATATCCCATCCAGCAAACCCCACTTTGGTGTTTCCCCCGTGCTTTGCTGAGGCAGGAGTTTGGATGAGGAAGAGGTGAGTCAAGCTCTAGCTAGAAGATTTAGAGGTGGTGCTAGATGTTTGGGAAACTGGGCCAAGAGGCACATGAGATTAATAGCTGTCCTGACAATAGTTTGTTCCCTTCGAAATAAAAATTCAGAGCATTCTTAGCTTTCTGCTTTGCCCCTGAATTGCAAAGTAGCATGCCATCAGAAGAGTGCTTCATAGACACTTCATGTAGCATGATGTTTGTGACCATTTCCATGGACTTCTGCCTTCTTAACTTTTCTCACCTCCAGCTAAGCCTATCGTGTAGCTGTTTAAAAGGAGCAGTGCTTGAACAGCACTTGGAAGCTTTATCTAGGGAAAAGCACACCAGTTGACAGGCTTTTAGCAGGGCTGTTTAGAAGTACATCCACAGAATAGTCTTCCAGGAGAAAATTAAGAACTCATTTTGATTTGTAATGTTTTCGGTATGGTGTCAAGGATTTAAATCTGCTCTGAATCTGGAAGACAGCTCTTCCAGGAGCTGAGGAATGCCAGGAGCCCGTGGGGACCAGGGAGTGGCTGCTGGGTCTCTGGTTCTGTGATGGAGAGAAGGACAGGAAAAGATGGTTGCTGAGTGGAATGATCAAGGGGGAAAGAAAAGATGATCAAGGAAAAATATTAATAATAAATAAATAAAGCTCTGGATGCTTAGCTGATGTGTTTGGCAACATGGGAGTGCCTTGTGCTCGTTAACTTGCTCTCCTTATGGCAGTACAGTGAGGAGAGGAAGTATTACAATTCCCATCGAGCAGACAGGAAGATGGAGCTGGAAAGATGCAGTAAAGCCTGGGACAGAGCAGGGAGATGAGCCCCTGTTTCTCAATTAGCAACCCAACTCTTGCTCTCTATTGTCAGTCTATCAGTAGCCATGGTCTGTAGGGAAGGCATCCATCTGTCTGGGCTGGGCTTGCCTCCTTTACTCTGGGATTTATCCCATGGCTCCTGTCCACCCTTTATCAAGGGAGAAAACTCTTCCAAGCAGCAATCTATGTTTGAGCTTTAAAATGCAATGGGGCGTCGCTGCTTTAGAGCTGTTGTCACTCAGATGCGCAGCCTGGGAGCCTTCATCAGTCTTGTGCCCTCTGAAAATGAGGAATGACTGCTGGACTTGGCAGCCGAGTGGCAGAACGATGTGCGGTCAGTCCCCTGCTGCCAGGGCTGGCAGATGCTGCAAGTGCCGTAGTGCTGGTGTCCTTCTTCTCATTGTTGTTCTGTGGTGATCTCACTCTGGCTCCCAAGGACTATCCCATGAGCACTGCTGGCTGGCACCTGGCCCATGCGCCTTTATGAAGACGTTAATCTGACATCTGAGGGGTGGGACAGCAATGGGGAGAAGTTAATGTCTTAAAAAGGCTTTTCTGTCCTGACTTCAAATTGTCCAAATTTTCATCAGGATTACAAATCACTGATTTTTATTTTATTTTGGTTTTTTGTTTGTTTATAGCAGATATCCAAAGTCTTCTAGGAAAAGTTTTCAGATAATGTGACAAGAAAAGTTGTGTTTTCTTGCCAAGTCTGGTATGACTCCTCCTTTAACTATGGGCAAAGGCTCATAACCAATCTGTACCTTGGGTTCCTAGCCTCAACATGGAGACTGTAATCCATTGCTTCATCCTGTTTCCCTTTCTTCCGTCTTAGATGGCAATTTTTTAGGTTAAGGACTCTTCCTGATTGTACAATACCCTGTACTCTGGCCTAAAATAACAGTTCAGTACTTTATTCTTAGTGCTACCACATGTTTTCTACATGCTGCTGGGACAATCACTCGCCCTCTCAGCACTTCATTTTCCTATCTGCAAAGTAGAGATAATGCCTACTTCCAAAGCAGATCCCTTGGCTGGAAGGTGCCAGCTACGTGCTGAGCGCTGTTATTCCCTCTGCTAAATGCGCATGTGATCGTCATTAAGCACAGACAGGACAGGCCGTTTTGTAATGGTGGTTGTCCCCCATGAATGCAGGGAACTGTAATGGATCTGGTCTGAGGGGGTGCTACCACCCGTTGAATGCACTGCTGTGATGAACAGTAGCATTTATCTTTTTAACAGTTGGGCAACACTGTCTTCTGTGAGGTTTGCATTAAGATAAGATGGGTTTTGTTCTGCTTCCCTCACCATCATTGTTCAAACTGGACAAAGGGCTCTTTGTAGACGTGTTATTGGTGGCTTGCTTCAAAGACACGAACAGTTTCTTACCAAGCATCAATGGAAACCAATATTTGTGTGTATGGCAGTGCAATGAAGCGATATAGTTACTGGTTAACCAGTTAACTGATTGATTAAATTATATTACATATTGTAATACCTATTGTATACGCTATAACTTAGATTAACTCTAAACTGCATCTATACAGGTGTGATGGCTGGGTTCAACATGAGTGGGGATCTCCAGAAGCCTGCTACCAGCATCCCCCTGGGGTCTCTGGCTGCTATTGGCACCTCGTAAGTCATTAATTGGGAAAAATTTACTCTTTGGAGACTGCCCTGGATGTGACCAATCTCTTTCATATTCCCATCAGCCTTTTATTACTAACCATCTGGAAAATTAAAGTCTGGCTGTCATTCAAATTATTATCCATTACCACCACCTACTCTGGGTGGGTTAGAGAAGAGTTTCTTTAATGTGGATGTAATCAGTCTTTCCCTTGCTGGGTGGGATGTGTGTTCGTGCTAGCACACAACCTACCCCTGTGCTGCAGCCTGGCTGTCCCAGAATGGGATCAAAGTTCTCAAAGGCCTAGGGTGTGTGATTTTGTCCCTTATTGCTGTTGATTTTGAAGTGCTTTATTTTTCTATATAAATAGAAAATATTAAAAAATTTAAAAATACAAATTTTATTATTGGGAAAATGGGGCCAAGACAGGTGAGATGACATACCCACCTACAAGGCCAGGGGAGTGCAGGAGCCCTTCATCTCCGAGCAGTGCTCTCCCCAGGAAATTCTGCTTTCCAGGAGTAAAATATTGTTACATATTAAAAAACACCCCCAAACCTCAGTAAGTTTTCTTGACTCTTTTCATTGCCACCTAAATTGCTTTTGAAATTATTACTTTTAATTGTGTAACAAGGTTCAGACAGAAAGGAAGGATCTTCACAATTCAGAGGGATTCCTGCCAAAATTGATGCTTGTTTTAAGTGAGGGAATTCCATAGGACACAGAAGTATCACAGAGGGATGGACTGGGGCCATTCACATCTCTGCTGTCTAGGCTTTGAAGACAGACTGGATTATCCCTCCACCTGAGTACTGGAAAGGCCAGGGACACCAGAAGAGGATCGTGACTCGGGTTGTGGAGCAGGCTGGCTGTGGTGTTTAATGTTACTGCCAGAGGAGAGGATCTGTGTACCTGCAGAATCATAGAGTTGTTTGGGTTGGAAAGGAACTTTCAAGGTCATCTAGTCCAACCCCCCTGCAATGAGCAGGGACATCTCCAACTAGATCAGGTTGCTCAGAGCCCTGCCCGACCTGACCTTGAATGTTTCTAGAGATGGGGCATCCACCACCTCTCTGGGCAACCTGTTCCAGTGTTTTATCCCCTCATTGTAAACAATTTCTTTGTCGTGTCTAGTCTGGATCTACCCTCTTTTAGTTTAAAACCATTCCCCCTTGTCCTGTCACTACAGGCCCTACCCAGAAAGTCTGTCCCCAGGACTGGGTTATTCCCTCCCTGCACACATCAATCGTGCAGGTAGCTTCCCCTCAGAGGTACTGTAAGTCACGCTGCAACTGTCCCTGGTACATTGTAATCAGTAAGAAATGTGGACTGGTGTTAAATTAATCCCTGAAGCTAAACCATGCAGGAGTAGCCCATGCAGAGTGATTGAAGACACAACCTGCTGGTACTTGACCATCTCCTGTCTCTGCTGATGAGCAGAAATACCAATGGTCTTGCTGGAAAAAAATACTCTATTTGTATTGTTTGCAGGTGGTTTCTGTACATGGTCTTTGTTTTTTTGCTGGGAGCCATTTGTACCCGTCAGTCGCTCCGCTATGACTTCATGATAGCAGAGAAGGTAACTTGTTCAAATAACCCAGTATGGTTTTATATAATGGTGCTTTCAAGTGGACATCTGCCTCTCTGAATGACTGAACTTTCCAAAGCCTAAGGAATTTGGGTACGCATCCCTCATTGAAATTCAGGGGGATTTTCCCATTGCAAATCTCAGTGTACAATTATTTGTATAGTTTTGCATTCACCAGGATGTCCAGTAATGCTGAATCTTGGCATAATCACCCAGCAATGGCTTTAAGAGCTAAAATATGCTAATATGGTCTAATGATAAATGCTGTATTTTATTCAGTGTTTCCTTTGTCTTTGGTGAAAGCTTAGACCAAATTGAAATCTCTAAAGAACCCTGCTGCTTATCTTGACTAAGTCAAGCAAAGCTTACATTTCCATATCTAGTGGGCTATAATTGCAGGGCAAGCAGTAGGATTATTAAACTCAAGTCATTCCACATGGGTGTATATACGTGAGGGAGGTTTTCAGTGTTACAGGCAATGAACCTTATCATTTTAGGTCTTGAAAAAGAGAGCAAATGATTTTGCTGTGTGCTATTGTCTTAATTTAGATGGGGTACCGACGGGCTATGTTTCTGTTATTCAGCATTATGTGGTGTCATGGGTTCACCATATTTGACACTATTTCTTGTGATTAATTTAAAATGGAGAGGTTTGCCGTTTGTTTAATTTGTAGTATGGTTTTAATCTAAAACATAAATTTGAAAATCTGGCTTTGTTTTCTTTCTAAGTAATTGTAGCTCTAGAATTCCTCCAGCCCCCAAATAAGCTCCAAATTATTGGTGGGGCTCCTGCTAAAGTCAAAAATCATCTCTCTTTCAGGGGAAAACATGTCCTTGTGTGTTAATAACCTAGTAGGTGAAAAGTACAGTAACTAGAAGAATCAGCTTTAAATGAATCCACTGAAGAGATTGTTAAAGCTGTGGTTTAACTTCAAAACCCATGGGGTACAGAATGGATGAAAAATCTCACAGTAAAGAATGTGAAGATATTACATAATGTTAAATATAAAAAAACCAACCAACCCAAGCCCCCAGAAAGCAAATTCAGTTTTCTTTTCCCTAGAACGGAACAAAACAGTGGTGCAATCCCAATATTCATGTTGCTTCTTTGAGTTATTCCAAGCTGCTTTAGATTTTAATGACTTTGTTTGAAGAGAGAGAGGCGGGGAGAGATCATTACACATCCAAATGCTCCCTTTCTGTCACTCACAGGTGAGCGAGTGCTTGGCTGCTTTTCTCCCTTACAATACTTGTTTGGCTTTTGAAACATAAAAATGAGATTCAGTAATTTCACTTCTAATGAGCTCCAAGTGCCAATTTCTTACAAAGTATTCACACTCTCCATGCTCAAACCCCCCAGCAAATACTTTCATCAGCATCAGTGAAAAGGACTCTTCCCCTCTACCCCTGATTTGAATGCCAAGTAGTACATTTAAATGCAAGCATTTTTGGCAGCTAAAATAATATGTGGTATCTAGCACAACTGTTTGTGTCTTCCAAGTATTTCTCAGGTCAGGGCATGATTAGAGGAGAGGGAAGGGAAGATTCCCCGTCGAGTGTCTGTCTGTTGGTCTAGTGGAAACTGATAATTGATTATCTTTGCTTCAAGTTTCTTCTGTCCCTCCAGATAAAATTCACAAGGCAAGTGGACTTCATCATGGGGAAAATAAATGTTGTGGTAGGAAGTTTGTATGGTTCTGCACCACAATGTTAATTTTACATGCCTTTACTGAGCAGCAAGCATTTTATGGCTTTTTATCCAATCTCCTCTTTGATGTGTGCGGATTTTATACGTGAGGAAAAGGCAAATATAAGCTTGAATCATCTTTAGCCATGTACATTTTTGTAATTCTTTCTAATAAAACATGTGCCACCTGACTTCAACAGGGGCAGAAGCTGGGAGGACCCACATTTATTTAGACCTCATTTTCCACGACAGGGGGCTTGGGAGCAAAGAACATGTGGGATGCAGGGGACCTGCGTTTAGTGACATCCTCTGCCATGGATGTCTGTCTGTATCTCCAGCAGCTTCCTGCAGTGGAGTATGGGCAGGATGGGTCTGGACCGAAATTTGGGGTTTTTCTCCGTGCCTGGCCTTTGTGTTGGTATTACTCCTCTCAGTCTTGCCATTCTCTGTGGCTGGCTGCTGGTTGTCAGACATGTATGGTCTTGCAGGACTTGGGGATGGCACAGGCAACTCTAGACCGTAGTCTCCTTGGGCGTATCTGCTCACGTCCTTACACCATGGTACCAGGACCACTTCCATTTCAAGGCTTTCTTGCACAGTGTTTGTATTGTGGGGTTTTGTGTACTTGGGTGGGTTTTTTTAGACATGCTGCCTATGCTTGCAGCACTGGGGACCTGTGCAGAGGGATCCCAGTCCTCACTCTTGTGATAGACCATGAGCTGCCCTACTTTCCCTGCATGCCTGTCGGAGATGCTCCCCATTTGAAAGGGTGCTCAATAAAACCAGTAATAAAATCAGCCTTGTTAGCACTGTGGCTTTAAAGATTTAAGTTTTGTGTTGGCCAAAGGAAATTCTTTTCTCATTGAAGACAGGAAAATAAGGTCATTGTATTATATCCTTCAGTGCGTATTTTTTGAGATGCCATTTGTTTAGGTGGCAATTTCAATTTGGTTTTACTGTGGGTTTCTTTCAGGATTGGTTTTCCCCTTTGGGACCCAGGGGTTTGTCTTCCTGTTTTGGATGGTTGGAAGCCTGGGCAGCTTTTCCTGTACGATGAGCTCTGTATATAAGTGACCTCTCCTGAAATAAACTCACTTCCAGTTACTTAAGGGGAATCTAATAGCTGTTGCTTTGATGCAATTGCTCCAAGCGGCAAAGAATTTCTTGGATATGAGCTTGTCAAATGGCTCTGTCGGTACAGGATGTTCAGTATTAAATTACTTTTATGGGATAATTTTCCTGTATTAATCGCTTGCACTTTATACCACAGACCAGATAAATTGCTGCTTTACCAAGGCTCACTCTGTTCATTTAGCAATGTTATGAAATGCATGTGATCTCTTAAAATACATGCATCTAAGACTGTTCGGGGTCTTTAGAGAACAATATAATCAACTTTGCATTCTCTCTGCTTCCTCCAGGTATCCTTGGTGGGTTTCTTGTTTCTGCTAGGGCTGTACATCTCATCCCTGGCCTCCTGCATGGGAGGGCTGTATGGAGCACCCAGGATCCTGCAGTGCATTGCCCAGGAGAACGTGATCCCCAGGCTTGCTTTGCTTGGACATGGGGTTAGTCATCCTTTCTCTGAGATTGCTGTCAAACCTTCACCTGAAGGAAAACTGGTGATTTAAGAAGCCAGGATGGCTATGTGTTTATAGGATGAGATGGGGGATGTATGAAATGCAAGGAGGGGAAGGCTTAGGTCCTGGTACCCTATGCATGCACAGAAAAGCCAGGGAATGGGTGCTTTTATTATAAAACCAAGAGGCCAGCTGCCTGCAGTCCTTTCCCTGCCTGTTCCCTCTGCTGCACCACCTTTGTCCCGAGTTCTCTCATGGGGCTCCCATGCAGGAGCAGCCCTGCTTCACTTCAGGATCTCGCTCACCCACCTCTGTGCTCCAGCCTGAGGCTGTCTGTCCTACCCCTGTGCATGGACAGCCCTTCCTGGGCTGCCGTCAGTCCCTTCCCTCCCTCCCTCAGACCCACTTCTTTGAGATGTCCCCAGTAAAACAACTACTTATGATACCACTTTGCCCATGGGGATTTTTGCCAATGCATTATTTATGCTGCTGCTGACCCTAACCATGACTGAGGGAGATTCCTAGCTCTTCTCTGCCCTCCTGTCCAGGCCAGAAGCCTGAAGATTTTGTCCAAGCACATAATGAAACGGATGGTAACTACCTCTTAATCTTTTTTTCTTTCTTTTCTTCTTTCATGCACATTTTCCTTGAGCTGTTCCTATCCTCTCTGGTAAGCTCATAGCTGAGTATGTGACTAGTTGTGGTGCTGTGGATTCAGCCTGTGTGCACTGGAGAAGAGGACACTTCTTTGTAAGATAAGGTGCCTTTTGAACACTATAAAATAAAACCAAAGAATAGATTTGAATAGTTAAGTTAGGAGGCTGCTAGGCTCAAGATATGCTTTGAAACAAAGTCTTGTTTTGAATATGACAAGAGGCTTTTTCCTTGTCCTCAGAAATAATCCTCATTCACATGAGCTGTTCTACTGAGATCAATTAAAGTACCAGTCCTACAGAACCTTGGGCGACATAGTTTAGTGTGTGGTGTCCCTGCTCATGGCAGGGGGGTTGGAACTAGATGATATTAAGGTCCTTTCGAACCCTAACTATTCTATGATTCTATGACTCTGTAGTCTTGGGATATACATTCAGCACAAACTATTTTTTCTGTTTTTCCCTTCTTCTACAAAGAAAGCAATTCCATCACTCTCAATAACCCGCAGTACCAAGCTGTCTCTGAGCGGCTGGGAAACCTTACAATGTTTTGCTCCTTCAGAGCAGTTTGTAAAACAGAAAAAAGTATTTTACTATAGTGGTATTTATGAATGTTTTAAAATAGCTAAATGTTTTGTAAGTATAATAATTTTATATCCTTTGTTTTATGTTTCTCAAAGTAATTTTCTAAAATTAAAGTCATAATAGTAGCAATAATAATAATAAATAGTCAAAATTATAGGGGAAGCAGTAACGACAGCAAAAACTTCCAGCTCCTGAAAGCAGTTGTCAGGTGATCCCAGAACAGGCTGTTCTCCACTTGGCAACCCTCATGAAATTCTCAGGGATTTAGCAAAGCTGACTGCAAAGTTGATTCCCCCTCTTTCTGTCTTTCTGTCCAATTTTCTGCTCTGAACTTTGTCCAGGCAGAGGGCCATGATTGGCAGGGCTCAAAAGGAGTTAGAAATCAAAGGCAGGTCACTCTTCCTCCTTCCTTCTCTCTGCCACCTTGAAGATTGTCTAGATTTGGTTTATGGACAGTTAAGTTTAATTTGCCTTTACCTATCTGTTCCGCATCAGTTGTTTTCTGTAGTTGAAGAAAGCATTGTAGTCACTGTAACAATAGCTGATGGGAGGGACAGGAGTGTTTTCTGTGCAGTTAAACCTAAGCCAGAGGCATCCTGAGGTCATCCCATCTGTTCCCTATCTCAGTATGTCTTTCTGATACCAAAGATGCTTTCTGAGAACTCTGTTCCTTAGTCTCTGAGACATACTTCTTTTTGTTATGAAAAGGTATACGGTCCAGAACTGGTCCTTTTTCTATTAATAAATAAGAGCAGAAGAAAAACAAATAATTTCCATTTGAGCTTTGTGTTTATTAAAGAAGCACATGCAGTAAGAGAAAACCTAAGATGTTTTGTAAGGTCCCTTGTAAGATGTTTTCCAGTGAGGTCTTTATGTACAAGCTTCTTGGGTACTGAAATGGCAAGAGAGTGCTTGGCCCAAGGTAGGGCATGTTAGACTTGGGAGTAAAGTTCATGAGCTGATGGCTCAAGTCTTTCCACCGCTGATGCCCTTTGCTTTGTCTCTCTTTTTCTCCTGCTTTCCCTGCCTTCACCCCACCCCAAAGGAGAAGAGCAGGCAGTGTTTCTCATGTCTTCCTGGCTTCCCGATGCACTCCCAGCATCACTGGGGGCTGACTCCTGCCTTCCAGCATCCTCAGCTGCCTAACCTCTCTGCTGCTTTCCTCCTGCCGCTGGGCTGAATGCCACTCAGGTGGATGAAAAGAGGAAAACCCCAAGTGCAGAGGCTCAGCAGACCATGGATTTAGCTCAGCCTCATATCAGGGCAGGGCCAGAGGCTGCTGATGTGAAGGTGGCACTGCTCCATGCAGGCAGATCTTCTTTGTTGTCGAAGCCTTTCCAAAGGCAGCGTGCGGGAGCCTTGTGGGTAGGCAGTGATACAGAGTCCTGAAGAGAAATTAGAGACAAGCAGTTAACTCTCATTAATGTGTTTTATAGCCAGACTTCCCATAAGCCCCACAAGTCTTTCTGAAGGTTTATTGCTGCTTTAATGACATTGTTTTACCATGGAGATACAGAGTGAGAGTGGATGAATTTTCCAAAGATAAAGCTTGAGGAAGGCTCAGAAGCAAGGCGGGAGCTCAGCAGCTTTTGGCTTCCACTCTGTTCTGTAATTTATTAAGCTGGTGAGCCTCTGTTAGCACATTTATGCATGACTTTCATGACTAAGGGGGTCCTGCAGACCACCCAGGTAACCACCCATGGCAGCTAAGCAAGTGGGGAATCCTCAAGGCAAGGCTTATGGTTATTAGTTTTAAATGTAGGTTTGTTTTCTTTATGAACTAGAAAGGACCCAACAAGACTCCAGTGGCTGCAATTTGCTTGACGAGTCTCATCACCATGGCTTTCGTCTTCATTGGGCAGGTGAACGTTCTTGCTCCTATTGTCACCATCAACTTCATGTTGACATATATTGCTGTAGACTATTCCTATTTCTCAATCTCCTTGAGCTACAACATTCAGCAGAAACCTGACAAGACCCAGATGGAAAACGCTAGACCTGCTCACTGTTCCCAGCCTTTAATTTTCAGCAAGCCCTCCAGCCGTGCAGCAGATGGAGTAATTCAAAGCAGATCAGATGGCACCTTGCTGGAATTCTCAAAAGACATGGACCAGCTTTTTAAACCATTTCGTAGCGAGCCAGGTGCTTGCAAAAATGAAGAAGGCAAGAATTTAACCCAAAAGGTCAAACAAAAGAAGGCAAAGAAGCCAGCCAAGCAGACATTACAAGACAGCTTTCTGCTGGACCTCCATCACGATACTCCCTCAGCTCAGTATGGCTGGGATGAGACCACAGAGCCCCACAATGACACCCAGGAGGACTTGGCTAATCAGGGCTGTTGGCATGATGCAGGTCCATGCTCATCACTGCCTGTGGATGCCCAGTGGACACCCAGACTGCTGGAGCAAAGAGAGCGGTTAAGCGCTCCCTGTCCAGAGGGGAGCAGGTAAGGGCTGTAGGAGATGGACATCTCTGTGTTCACAAGGGGATGGTTTATAGCCTTAGTCCTCCTGATGCTTTCCTGAAGGCAGGTGTGAAACTAGCTTTATACAGGGATGTCATTCAGTGATTCATAGCAGTAATATCATTTATTCCAGGTGAGGGTAGAATTCATTGCAGTCATCACAGGAGAAGTTCCAATGCAATTTCCGATGGAAGATTAATCACAGGAAAGCAGGCAGGACTATATTTAGTGTAGGGTTGTTTACTATGTGCTCAACCCTGGAGGAGTTTAAGGCCAGGCTGGGCAGAGCCTTGGGCAACATAGTTTAGTGTGTGGTGTCCCTGCTTATGGCAGGGGGGTTGGAACTAGATGATCTTAAGGTCCTCTCCAACCCTAACTATTCTGTGATTCTATGATTCTATGATTATTATAAGCAGGACTGTATTTAGTGTAGGGTTGTTTACTATGTGCTCATTATTATACACTTGCACACTTAACGCTGCACATTAAAAGGTTTTGAGTGTATCTTGGGATTTACTTCATCCTGGTGCAGGGTAGGAGGGAGCTGTGTGAGTCTAAAATTGAGGCTATCAAAGTGCAGTGGCCCCAGGCCATAGGAGGAGTCTAATTCAACATCCACAGCTAAGAGTCTGAATTTGTTCTGTTGGTGATGTGGGTATTTGATAACTGTGCTTTTATTTGCTTGGAGTTTGTCATCTCAGTGCTGTAGTTTTATCAGTGTTAGTCAGTTAAGCTTCATAAACCTCCCCGAGGAGAAAAGCATTATTTCTTTTTTTTTTCCTCCCCACCAATAGGGAAACTGAGGCAGAGATAGGCAGGTATGGCCTTCAAATGGACTCAGTACCAGAGCTGGCAAGTTTTCTTTTCTGTTTTCTGTTTTTTATTTTCTAGCATTTCTTATTTCATTTTAGAGGTTTCAGTTTAACTCTGCCGTATCCAGCTGTCCTCTGTTTTTCTGGAATCTGGTAATGAAAGTCAAAGAAAAAAACCCACATTATAGCTCCATTCTAATATTTAAATTTTTTTTTCAATTTTTGGTTTGTTTTTGTTTTTGGTTTGGTTTTTTTTTCTGTAGAATCATCTATAAAGCAACAAAATCCAGAGCTGGGAATTCAGCAGATACCACAATCCTTGCACTCCAGATTCTGCAATCATTGGGTTTCCTTTGCTGGTGTAAGTATCTGTCTTTTATTTTGAGCACTGATTTGTGATTGTAGAAAACAGAAAGGACTTCATCACTTACTAAAGTGTAATACACTCTAGTACTTCAAAACGGCTTTTGATTCTAGTATCCCAGTCACTTGAATTAAGTTCTCAAGGTACCATGCATCCAGCAGTTCAAATTCAGAGAAAGTGAGATGGCATATTAATTAAAACCACCACAACAACAGTAAAAAAACCCAACCCAAAACCATACACATTCCAAGACTGGTGTCTTAGGACTTTAGAGATGCCTGGCTGGGAAAAAAACAGTGTCCCTCTTATCACTGTGTGCCAGCCTGCTTTTTCTTGCTGCGGGATGGAGTGACATACCAGCTTCAGTGCTGCATTGCTTTCATTTATGAGCCAGTTTCTGCAGGCTTGGGTTGGGGTTTCATTAGTGCTGACCTCCTGATACCAGCAGCCCAGCTGTGACATTCCATCTTTTGAGGGAGGAAAGTGTAGCATTCCGCCAGCTACACGTTACTTTAAAGAATAAATAACTTCTAAATAACTTCAGTCTCAAGCTACTGTGGAGTTTCAGACATTTAAATTCATCTTGGGAAGATGGATTATTGGGCAGATGACAGGAAAAGGGTCAGATATGCATAATGAATGAACCATATGGCCTTGCTGCATGAATGGGGATTTCATAGCAGTGTGTAAAATATAACAAACCCACTCAAACGACACACCGAACCCTTTAAGTTTAATCCTCAGGTGGAGTTGGACACCTACTTTTCAAATTTGCTGCTGCTGCCAGGAGGCAGCTCCTGGTGAGTGGTCCCACTGGACTGCAGCACTGGGGTGGGATGGATGTGGAGGCTCCTTTCTAGCAATGATATCTTTAGGAGGCTGCACATGGATGCTGTCTCTGGGCTTAGTAACTAAGGGAGCTCCCAGCCATGTGTCATTGAGGAGTGGTCAGCTCTCTGCCTTCGCAGGGGAACTTGCTTATGGAGATGACATGTTCATTAAAGCAGATTTGATTTCCTGTCAACTGGGAGGAAGTTGCAACAGAGCCGAGGAAGGATCAAAGGTGCAAAATTAAATCAAAGAAGCAAAAATCAGATGCATTTATTCATCCTGGCTCCTTTTCTCTCTGCTCACTCTCTTGAAGTTTCACCAATTGTGTCAGCCTGGACTCATAGAATTAGAATCATAGAATCACAGAACGGTTTGGGGTGGAAAGGACCTTAAGATCATCTAGTTCCAACCCCCCTGCCATGGGCAGGGACACCTCACACTAGACCATGTCGCTCAAGGCTCTGTCCAACCTGGCCTTGAACACTGCCAGGGATGGAGCATTTACCAGCTTCTTTGGGCAACCCATTCCAGTGCCGCACCACCCTCACTGTAAAGAACTTCTTCCTTATATCTAACCTGCGCACACTGCTGGCTCGTATTCAGTTTCTCATAGACCAAAACCCCAAGTCCTTCTCTGCAGGGCTTTCTTAGAGCTTTTTTAGCTCTCTCTTTGCATGCTTTCTAACCTTGCCAATGAAGGTGTTACCTCTGCCCACATTCGTGTGCCCTTTCAGCCAAACCTGTCACCTGAGTTGGTAAGTCTCTGGACTACTCTTAGAGTAGCCCAAGCAGAGACCCATGCTGCCTCTAGGACTCAAGGTAGCTCACTGAAAGCTGCTTCCTTTCATGCTGCTGAAGATGACACTGTAAACCTGTGCTGTCCCTCCTTTTTACAGTGAGCCCGAATGAGGCTTCTTATAACACAAGAACCTCACTACCAAGAAATCTCAGCCATGTCATACCAAATCTTTTCAGATAAAACTGGATGGAAATGCTCTGCGTGTGGCAAAAAAAACACATGCTGTGAAGTGTTTTGCAGGCAGGAGATGATAATGGTTCCCCAGGGGTCCTGCTGCATCACCAGCCTTAGCCACCAAAACCCAAGAACATCCATCTACCCACATGGCTGCAGCTGGCATCTTTGTGCAAGGAGAGCGTCTGTTGTGTCCCCATCCTGGGACATTACAAGGGAGATGCCTAAAAGGAAACAGTCATCAGGATAATTCCAAGTGGCTGCATCCTGGGTCCTGACTGTGCATATCTCTTACACAACACTGCCAAGAAGACCCTGAGAAATACGAAGGTGCAGAGATGCCATTGAAGCACTGGTTTTGTATGCATTTAAAATGAAGGTGCAGCATTTCTGGAAAACCAAACCGAACCAAAAACCAACAAACCCAGCATTTACTGATGCTCTCATAAGAACTTGAAAGATCCAGCACTGCCTCAGTTCTTAAAGAATTTCTGTTAGCGTGGCACTGCAAGCTCCTTTTGCCAGGTTGAGGAACAAAACCCCACCATGGCAGGGGGGTTGGAACTAGATCTTAAGGTCCTCTCCAACCCTAACTATTCTATGACTCTATGAAATTGCTGACCCAATGTCAGGCTGTGTCTGAAGGTGCACAGTCATCCCCAGGCACTGCACTGCCAGCTCTCCCGCAGGGCCAGAGCAGGAGGTCATTGGAGCTGCTGGGCTGTGCAGAAAAAGCACTGTCAGGCTGTCATCACCATGTGAGCTTACAGAGTCTGGGGTAACCCCAAACCATGTCTTCCCAATAGGCGATCGTGTCCCTCATCATAATGTTTGTGATTCAGTGGATCTACACCCTCATCAGCCTGGGTGCTGCAGTTATTGTGTATTTCTACATTGGCCAAGTGAGCCCAGGCCTCCCCCTTGGTGAGTATTTTTTTTTCCTGTATTATTAAATCTGCATAAAAATTCATTAAGCTTTAATTTAACTTAATGGGGGATTGAGACTGGTGTTTAATATGCAGGTGACACAGTGAATGATGAAGTTTTGTTTCGTTGCTATTTTTAATAAATTTTCTCTCTGACTATTTTTATATTGGATTCTAACTGTTACTAGCATTGGTTTGATAGTTTGAACATTGTGCTTATTGCTTCATTATAATGTACTTGAAATGGCAAAACCAGATACTTAACAGGGGTGGCAGATTGTAAATGTGTTACAGCAATGAGAAAAATCTACTGTAAATACGTTTTAATAAACTTAATCTAAACCCACCTGAGAAAAAATGGGAATTATGACAAGTATCTCATTAAATCTCAGCATTCATAACTGCAGAACAAGAGAGCCTTTTGATTCCAGAACTGAACAGGTTGACTATGTTGGGAATGTAATCTGGGAAAATACTTTAAGGCAGAGGGTATTAAAAAGGTCTGTGCATGTGATCGGCTTAAACAAGTTCAAAATTAAACAGTGAAGCACATTCAGAAAGCAGCTCATGAGAGCCTACAGCTCCTTAGCACAGCCATGGGAGGGGTTTGCATTGCTCTGTGTCTCTGAAGGGAGAGGGTGATGTGCACATAGTGTGCACGTACTCACGTACTTATACATACATACATATGTAGGTGCATACATACGTACGTAGGTGCATGCATCTCTGTAAGTACCTGCACGTGTGGATGTGCAATTTTTTGTCAAAGATGGGAGAAGTCAAAAGAGCCTGAGTTCATATGCCTTTTAGGCAATGTAGAAATAGCTGCCCAGGTTTATTTAGATGAAAGATTATTAGGCAGCAGGTAAGTAGGTACTAGATTTCAGAAACCCAGATGATGAGAAACCAAAAAGTAGTTGTCACTCAGTAACCATCAAAACATTGCTCAACCATTCTTCTCCTTCGGCTCTTACATGACTTCTATGTATTTGTATGGAATAGTAGAAAAGAGCTGAGACTGTGGATAGTACTTGCTAATTTGTATCTTTTGAGATATATCTAAGTTTTAACAGTTTTTTATGGACCCATGTAACACAAATCATGTTTTCAGACTTTGGACTTTGCCTTTATGTATTCATTGTATTGTATCTCTGTTATCTGCTTTTGAAATATGTACCAAAAATGACTTTAAAAAGAATTTCTCAGTCAGTATGTAGAGGATTTTGGAAGGGGATCTGAGAAATAGCAACATGATTAGATATTTTTTCTTGGTTTCTTTTGCACATGCATTCCCATGCATACAGCAAAACAATGCATGGCAAAGAAAAAGTAGAAACGAACACTCAAAGCTCAGCCTGCTTTTTATTTGGCTGTGAGTGAACGTTATTTTGTAGTCACATAGCATCCAACAATCTGTGAGTATGTTCTCCAGAGGACTGAATGACCCTTTTGTCTGTAAAGGGTGGGAGACACTACCTTGAGAGGTGCTTTGGATTAAGGAATAGATAAAGACCTTGGGAGCAGAAATGCTCTTTCTCCTCTCTCTTCCTCCTCAACAGCCTAAGCCAAATCCAGCAGGCGCTGCTGGGCCTCTAGTCTCTTCCCTGTCCCTCAGCGCAATCTTCTCCTGCTGCCTTTGCTGCCAGCTCTGGCACTTCCCTGCCCCTGCAGTGAGCCAGTTCAGGAAACTAGCTACATTGGGATGAGAAGAAATCAGTGTTGGTATAATAAACTAAGACAGCTCTCCATGGGGTCAGACAAGGAGTGCATGGTGAGACCACAGCCACCCTGGCTGAGGTCTGCTGATGGCTCCTCCCATCTGCCCATCACTGCAGTGGGAATGATATTTGCAGTCTGGGGAGGAAAAGGTGCTGCAGTGGATGTCTATGGTGTGCTCATGGCTTTACGGGGGTTTAACAAGCCATTGGTCTGGGAAGGGATAGCTGTTCTCCATGGGGAATTTGTGTTCATTTCTTGAAAATGGCTTAAAAGCCACCGTGTGTGGGAAGACTGCAAGAGTGTTCTCACCATCATGAAAATCTTTGGGTACTGAAAGCTAGTAACAAGCAAGTTTGGTTTGAGATTTTATGCAAAAAATTCAGTGGTGTGATGCTATTACAAGAGAATTACCAGTGAACTGACTTCTTGTGCCTTTTCTCTGTAGGAGCAGCAGCGAATTTCAGCTTCTTTGGCTGGATTAAGTCGGTTTTGATCACCTTGCGCAGGTTGGTACCAGTCACTTGGCAGTGAGAGAGGCAGTGATTGTTGTTCCTGTGGCCTGCTAATGTGCACAGAGAGGGCTGGAAGAATTGACTTGCCTGTTACCTTAACCAGTCTGTCTGGCCCTTCTTGCATACTCAAAGTTATTCTCACTTAATGGCAAAAATAACTCCTTGTTTCCATTAGCCTTGAATATGGCTGGCTGTGTAAGTGGGGGAGAGTCTCCTCTGTCTTGTGTGTGGACATGTCAGCTGATGTCAAGTATCTTGCTGCCTGAAGTTTTATCTTACCCCAGAAGGTCTTTGCTCAACCTCTATGGCACAGACTGAACTGGAAAATCTGGTAGGAAATGAGAAATGGGAGATTCCATCACTTCTACCACCATTTATTGAAAGTAAATTTCTGTGGTAGTGGTGAAACAGGCATGCATGGCAGCTGTGCTCAAGTTTCAGAGAGGAAATTTGGGAGGAAGCTGCAAGAGCTACAGGGCAAATACAGTAAACGAAGTCTTCAGTGAAGGAGCCATTCAGTATTGAGTTTGCATGGGACTGCAGTAGCATTGTCTTGGGATTTTACTTCCCAGAACCTTAAGAGTTTTGTTTGGTTGGATATTAACTAGATTTGTTAATCTAGTTTTGATGCTATTAATTATTAATTCCATTATGTTTGTGATTCCCATAGCAGGGCATGACCGCCTCTGCAGTGCAATGGGGTTTGAGGTTCTCAGTCTGTTGGGTTGGGTTTATTTGTTGCAATGTGTGGTCACTGTAATAAGGGCTGCACAAGATGAGCTGCCAGGAATTATATGTGCAAATTTGATGGCTCCTTTAAAATAAATGACAGTCCAGGCACTTAAGTATGTTGGCACATGCCTGTCTTGCCAGCTTCTGCCTCTGCCCACAGTCTCTATAACATGGCCACATGCCTTTGGAAGCAGAGGTGGCTTGGGAGAGAAGCTGGGGCTGATGGGACTTCTACGTCTCCATGGCAGGTCATTTTAGCTTGGTGCAGCTCTTGGTTGTCCATAGGTTGTCCATCAGCCCTGTCTCCTGCCCATTGTCAGAGGTTCCCTGTGGAAGGCTGGTTGAGATGCGAGGCTTCATGGAGAATTACCATGTATGGAAAAGACAAACTATTCCTTTTGGAGAGGCAGCCCTGCTTCTTGTGGGTAGAGGTGCTGTTGTCGCAGGGGGATTTATCCTACAGGTTACCAGACTGACATAGTCCTTAGAGCTTTGCTCAGTGCAATCACTGAGCAACGATCCTGGCAAGGAAGCTGAGTGGGGAGCTGGAGAGTGCCCAAGGCAGAAACGGATCCTATTTGTCTCTCCTCAAGTGCAATCTCTGGGTCATGCAGCCACTTTGTTTGCCTTATCTTAATGCCAGGGCTCCTGCTCGTGCTGGTACAAAGACAATTTTGGCTCTGCTTGGGGGTCAGGTGGGTCATTTTAAAGCTCACCTTTACTACACTGGAAGAAAATGCATTGAAGTAATTTACAGGTTTTTCTTCTAAGCTCTTTTTTCTTGAAATCCAGGCAAAGTATTTTAATGAATTGGAGGTAAAAATATCCCATTAGATTGCAAGAGAGTTGGAGGCAACCAAGGATCCTTGATGCCCCTCTAAGGGTCTTAGGCGCTCCATGAGGTCTGAATCAGTGCTATAAGCTCTTACAGTTTTGATTTGCAGATGTGCAAGAAAGTTTTCTTAAAATCAGCCTCTGGGATAAAGAAATTGCAGGAAGATCTCCTCTTTCATTTGAAAGAGTTACAAAAATGATTGTACAATAAAGCTTAGGGAACTCTAAGAAGGGTCTTCTTCACTGATTCTAGGATTCTATGATTAGAAATGTTTCATGTTCCTTCTTCTGCACAGTGTGGAAAGTGTTTGCCTTAGCCAGCATCCAAAGAGGAAACTTGTTAAGAAAATATATGTTTTCCAGTGTTTGCTGGAGGAAGGGAGTATATTTTTGTGTGCCTTCTAAGAAAAATATTTTCAGATTAGCTCTATGCTTCCCAAGGGCACTGGGAAGGATTCAGCCTCTTCTCAAAGTGCCCTGCCGCCTTTGCGCAGTGGAGAGCGCAACTGCTAATGGATATGAAACAAGGGGTGATGTAGACGCTTCTGCTTCTCTGTTTGCAGGAGAAGGCCATCTCCCAAGGAGCAGATCGTGGTGACACCGTCCTTTGCAACAGTTGGCATGGAGACCACACAGCTCACCGAGGAGAATGCAGACTTCGCCTCTCGGGACCGCTATCACCAGTCCTCACTTATCAGCAGAGAGGAGTTTGGGAATCGATTCCACTAAAGGACACAGAAAAGAAATCAAGCCGTCACTTCAAAAAGCATTTAGAAATGCTAATGGCTGCCATAGTGCCATGTGAAATACTAGAATATATATGAAAAGGATGTTAATAGTTATTATATATTTGAGGGTTGTTTGTTTATGCAAATCACGACATTTCTGCGTTTCAGATCTTATCCAAAATGTGGAAAAAAATGGAAAAGAAAGGGCCGGTCCAGGGAAGTGATGAGTTACTGAGAACAATATAATCCTTTCAAAGAATTCAGTTATAAGCACTATTGAGCTCTAAAGACCATTGCCACTATAAAAGTGTGCAACACCCCATTTCAAATGTCCTCTGGGTGACCAAGGATGCTTTGTGCCTGAGAGTGATGGCCTCACTAGCAGGAGCCAGTGCCCCATGCCCAGCTGTGCCATGGATGGATACATCCTTCTGGGTCAATTCACTTCTCCTCTCGGCATGAATCTGCCTGCTTGTAATACAGTAATCTTCTACCTCGGCATTTCAAGGTCTTAGAAAGTACTTTAAGGCATTAGACAATAGGCCAGAATCAGTAGCAAGTTCAGGAAGATTATGAAATACATTCACAATTGGAATCACACATTTTAAATGCAGTAACGCAGTATGATGACCTCTACTGTAAAACTGTGAAATGATGTCTTAGCAGCTCTTCATAGTAATTTCCCACATCCTTTCTGATGTGATACCTGGGACCTGACAGCATAGCTGGGTCCAAATAAGAGTATCTCCTGGCTGAAGGAATAGATGGTTCAGAAGTGCCTTAACAAAATACATTTAGCCTCATCTTTGCTTAAAGCCCATCCCACAGTGAGCTCCTGCAAGGGGCCATTCCTCCCGCTGGTGTGATTTGCGATTTGCAGAGATTCATAAGGGGATGCTGCAGGATTTCCTATGCAGACCTTAGGGTTGGTGAGCAGTGGCTGTGGGGCAAGGTCTAACATGGACACGCCCATCACTGCCACTTCTGCTTCCCAGGGAAAAACCCCTCTGTTGAGTGCTGTCCTGACTGCAGGCAGCAGTCTTGGCAGAGACTTGTAGAGGTGCGAGGGAGGGGTCTGGGTTGAGGCAAGCCACAGCACCACAAATCAGTTCTGGTGCTACCAGGAGGGGGAAATCACTGCCTTTCCCTTCCTTTCATCTCTAATTATTTCAGCCTTTAGATTATTTATTTCTCCTTCTGTGCAGTAAAAGCTTGAGACATGAGGAACTCCCCTTTGTGCTTGCTGTGGTTGCATTCGGTGCCTTTGAGCACCTTTCCAGTTGCCAGCACTCAGCACCCTGGTGTTACCAGCCGTGGAGGACCTTCTCCTTCCCGTCTTGTGGTCTGGCCAGCTGCAGCTTTGGCTCTGGCAGTTTTCTTACAGAGGGAGGCAAAGGAGACTTTCTGATAAGATGAAGAAGAGAGAAATCCTGGTGCACTGCAGAAAGCATATTAATTTTTTTAAGTTTGCAGGTCTTTTACTAAGTGTTTTTAACCTTAATTATCTCAGTAGAGGCAAGAGGGAAGTTGTTCTGAGTGGCCAGCCAAGCCACTTTAAGTTAGTCATTCTGTGTTGGAAACACTCCTTCCAGGGCTCTTTCTTTCCATTGCTTTTTGCCTTTGGTTTCCAAAGAGTCTGGATCTTGTGGGGACGTGGCTTCATGCTAAAGCTTCCCCTGGGTTCTCTGGGACCAGTGGCTCCAGAGTCCTCCCTGTACTTATAGCATCCTCAACCTTGGCAGCTACTGCTGTCATGCAAACTTCAAATACTCCTTTGTGCTGATCCACTGCTGACAAGCTTCACAGTGCTGTGTTATCCCCTGTTACAGCGTGATACGCAACCATTATGCCATTACTGTAAAATCTTGTATTTCATAAAGTCCTGTCATGTCAAAATATTGTGGAATGCCTTCTCTCCCAAGACAGGGATTGCCCAGCCCCACATTTCTCTGTAGCTTAAACAAAGAAAAACCCCAGAGCATGGTATGGAGTGATTAATGGGCAGAAATTCCTGGGTTAACTTCTCTGTCAGCTCCTAAATAATTTAGTTCCCTTCTTAAAGTAAGGCAGCAAACAAGAGATGTAGAGAGGGAGGATAGAGAAGGTTGCCTTGGCCATGTAGCTCACTGGGGAGCTGTGCTGGTTGAAGCCAGATGACTTGGTTGTGGGGAGTGTAGGAGTGTTTGTCTCTCCAACACCATGGTCCCTGGTCATTCCCAAACTGGGATGTGGTGGGCCAGAAATACAAGCAGCTTCTCCCTTGGTCTAGCAGTATTGGGAAGGTGCCCCACAGCTTTGCTTTCCGTCAACTAAGTCTGCAGCAGCTGTCCCCTTCCTCTGCCACCACTGTCCTGCCTCTTTAGCTCCAGCAGCTATTTGCATCTGAACATCCTCTGGAACAATTTTGGTTGTGTCTGTCCACCAGTGAAACCTCTGCTGGCTGCCAGAGGAAGGCACCATGCTGTGCAAGGGCCTGGTGAGAGGCTGTCGAGACAGTTCTGGGGTGCAGGATGGGCCATGCCTCCATATTTCTGGAAAAAGGCAGTCGCAGGGCTGGCAGTGTGGGATGGCAATAGCTGCTATTGGGACCTGGCAGCAGAGGAGATGCTCTGCAGAAGTCATTGTTCCAGTGGTTTCTGGTCTTTGGGCTTCATGTGCTGCTGCAGGAGAAAGTCTGCCACCTCCTCTACTGGCACAACCAACACAGCAGGAACCAGCTTCCTTCACCACCTGGTAAGTATGGGTACCTGGCCCTTTCATCCCCTTCTATCTGCAAGGGAGGAATGCATTGCATAGGGCTGGTTTCCCTTCACTGTTACAGGCTATGAGTAGAACAACTTTCCTGTTTAATACTTGGAAAGGGACATGCTGATCTTCCCTGAAGTGTTAGCTCTGGTGTAGTCAATGGTAAGGGCAGAGGGAAGCCTTGTTTTAGCACCAATAACCCCACAGACTCGATGAGTTAAAGCCAATATGGGTATGCAGAGCTTTGCACATCAAGCCTTTCCAGCAAGAAAGAGCAGTTGCATTGCCAAATATTGGGGTGTCATGTCAAAAATGTCTGTTGCCTCTTTAGCACTCTAAATAACTGAGAGAAATTAGGGGTAGGAATCTATCAGCTTCACACTTAGTGATTGAAGGGAAGAAATGTAGGTGGGGGTTGCTGCTGTGAGTGGGAACGTGCTGCTTTCACCCTTCTGTGAGCCAGGCTGTGACTGCAGATGCTGAGGCTTTCATTAAGCTTCAGGTTCCCTGAAGGTGGGTTTGGGACCCAGCTCTGAGCATCATATGTCAAGTATAGATTGCAGTTTGGTTAATGTCATTATGAAAAGGCCCTCCTATCTCCTAAGCCATGTAAGCTTCGTTATCTATAATTATTTTCCTTTCAGTTGGAAAATTGATTTTTTTTTGTTATTATGTGAGTAATGAAAATGTTTTGCAATGGGTCAGGGTGTGAAAACTTTTGTTTTTGAGAAAGAAGTGGACGTAACACCTCAATTCTGTTCCTTTCGAAGACTCCAACTGTAAATCAGTGGCTCTAGTTTTGATGGCTTCCTTTGCAGAGCTTTTAAGCACAGAAGGCAAGGAAGGATTAATATTTTGTTATATGACTTGCAGTATTGCCTGAAAGCTCATGCTGTGTTTGTGATCCCACAGCACAAACAGGTCCAGAAATCAGAATCTTCTGCCTCAAAAACTTGCAGCATAAATAGGCAAACTAAGAATGAGGAGGAGATAAGTGAAGTTTTATTGTGATACTGACTGTGAGACAGCTCCTCAGTTGATGTAAGTTGTCATCATTCCCCTAGGTGTGCCTGTGTGTCCCGTTAGGACTCTGCATGGGGAGGACCAAGCTCCATAGCTGGCTCAAATCCATCTTTTTTTTTTCTCCCTTCTTGGCTTTTTCTTGATTTTTGAGTTTCCTTGGATGGTCTTTGGCCAAAAAATCTCTCACACCTGCATGATCACTTATTCACAGCTGATAGGGGCCTACAAGGATGCTGGAGAGGGACTCTTCATTAGGGACTGTAGTGGTAGGACAAGGGGTAATGGCTTCAAACGTAAGCAGGGGAAGTTTAGATTAGATATAAGGAAGAAGTTCTTCACAGTGGGGGTGGTGAGGCACTGGAATAGGTTGCCCAAGGAAGTTGTGAATGCTCCAACCCTGGCAGTGTTCAAGACCAGGTTGGACAGAGCCTTGGGCGACATGGTCTAGTGTGAGGCATCCCCGCCCATGGCAGGGGGGTTGGAACTAGTTGATCTTAAGGTCCTTTCCAACCCAAACCATTCTATGATTCTATGAGTCTATGACCGCAGTGCTGAAGTGGCAAAGAATGCTGACAAAATATGAAATTATGCTTCTGTGCATGGCTGAATTCAGACACAGGGGCTCTCTTTGCCACATGAGCTGGTACGCTCTCACCCATGCACCTCTGGTTCGGACAGAGTTTCTTAAACATCATCATTCTTACACTTGCAAGGCTAGAAGAGATTTGCTTAATCATAGGAGCCAACCTAGGATTAACATTTAGGTTAGTGGGAAATTGAGGTCATTTCAATTATTGCCATTGCATGGTGAACTTTAGAAAAGGCAGTTACTGGGATAAAGGAGAGAAGATTTTGTAGACAACCTATAAATTCGGTAAGTTCATATAAAAGAGGTATATAATGGACTTGCTTATATTCTGCAGTGATGGGTTGCTGAGACCTAGATTTGGTGTAGCATCATTTAAACCTCAGTTGAGGTGAAACCTCATCAGTCACAGCCCTAAAAGGTCTGGATGAGAGGCAATAGCAGCAAACTGCAGGCTAGAAATAAGTAGCTTTAAAACGCATATGGCACAAAAGAGGCTCTTTCCATTTCCACCTTCTGCTCCTCATGGTTTTTTTTTTCATGTAATTTTCATGCACATACCCCCACATACCTGGGATTTGCCTCTCTCATGCGAGAGTGAATGGAAACATGGGTGCACTCACAGAAACAGCGGTCAAGGAGTGAAC